CCCCAAAACCCCAAAACCCCAAAACCCCAAAACCCCAAAACCCCAAAACCCCAGCATATGACTATTTAATAATATTAATAAAATAACTCTATTAAGTTCGACTAATATGAGATCAAGAAGAGCAAAAGGCTGGAAGCATTTTCTTGTGGCTATAAGAAAGACACACCTGCAAGTAAATAGAATATTTCATAATCCAGGTGGAACTGTTATAGAAAAAGTGAAGAAGTAAGCAATCATCTGCAATCTTTTAGCGAGGATCCTGAAGTCAGTAAGGAAGAAAACGTGCTAACCCTGACTGTGCATACTAATGAGTTTTCGGACAAAGATATAGTATTTAACCCAGAAAAATATCCAAGATACAGGCCAGGAGAAATCCTTGTATTCCAAATTTTAGATAAATAAGGGAGAAAAGGGAGATAAATGGAATTCAAATATGTGTAAGTTTGAGAATTTGGATATCTTTTAATATTTTCTTAGCTTCAAATCAGAAGCAAGCTGGAGCAAAGCCTCCAAACTTGGAGGTCCAGTTCGTTGCACAGATCACAAAAAGTTCCCTCACCTCTAATCTGAAAGGAGGCATGAGTGTTTTAAAGACCTTAGCAGACCATTATGGTGTTGATAATAAAACTGAGATAAGAGTCAAGCCTTTAGAGGATACCTCTAAATTTGAGCTTGATAAGGTCTACTTTACCATCAAAGACCAGTTTCTCTCCAGAAGGGACCAATGGTACTTCTGAGATAGCCTCTTGAAAGGAACTGCTGTGTATCCTTTAAAGTATGTCCATTATGCACAAGCAAGATGTCGAGTTAAGACAGCAATAAAAAGTGGCAAGGTTGTTCACTCTGGACTGATTACAAAGAGGACTGCCTTCTCTTTCTTCAGTAAATCCTCCCACACAACTGTAATGATAGAGATGTCCAAGGAGATGTACACATTTGATGACAATGGGTAAGTTTTTAAGTTATCCTATAAGATACACATACTCAGAAAGAGTAGTGATATTCCTTAGAAATTTATTTGAAAAAATGAACTCAAGCCTATGCTCTCATGAGGTCACCATCATCATCTATGGGAGGCTATACTATCCTGATTACGAGTCTCTAGATGAAGTATTCAAAGCTTTGAGGAAGGAGAATCCTGACCTGAACCAAGAGACTTTGAAAGCACTGGAAAAATGTTTTCACATCACTAAAGAAAGTACTATCTTTCAGGATGTTTACTTCAAACTAGGTGTTTTTGAACCATCTAGGAATAACTGGTCGGCATATTTGAAGAGACTAAAGAGATTATTGAATTACTACCCAAGTCTGGTAAAATGGGAAGTCTCCAATGATCTTGTGAAGAGCCTGATTAAAGCATATCCTGCCAATGAATTCAGGCAAGGACCAAAATATTTGGAGGACTCTGATACTCTATCTGAACAATTTGTGAGGGTAGAAAATATGATAAAGTGAGAAGTCAGCACTTCTTCTTATTCTAACTTCTTAGAGGCAGTCAATTTGGGGATGAGACATCTACATCTTGATCAAAGCACAAAGCATGTTGGGGCACAGATAATGATCATTAGTGCTGGTAAAGGAGTTTATAAAGTATGACCAGATATTGCAATCCCTACTAGAAAAAGAGTTCTCCAAAGTGGGATCATGACTCGAATTGTTTCTCTCCAAATACCTCCTAATAATCTCAAAGGAAAGCTTCATTCAGCTATTTTTATTTACAAATGCTTTTCAAACGACCACAGAAGAAATGCTAAGTATGATCCATTTTGCACGAAGCCGGATAAGAGCGATAGAAAATTATGGTATATGCCTTCAGGAAAATCAAGTGGTAATTTGTTTATATCTAACATATCAATAGATTCAGGTAAAAGCCCATCAAACTCCAAGAGTAAATAAAATCCCTCTAAAATCTCATGTAATTTAGTCCCTGAAGAAAACATTGAAGTTGAGTTCAACGATGAGCAATTAGTCCACGACAAAGGATCTTTTAGAGGAAGAATTACTGATGAACAGGCCTTAAGTAGGCATCCTTATTGGATAAAGATGACTTATTTCTACAACCCTGATGGATGTATCACTCAAGAATCAACTGTACTAGGCATGCATGATTCTTATAGGCTGACTCAAAAAGTGATGAAGTTTCTACCCAAAAATCCCAGATTGATTCATTTAAGCATAAGAGACTTAGTGAAAACTCTCATAGCTATAAGATTCATGAAGGCCAGAGGAAGAGAAGGTTAAGCAGTGATGAGGAGAACAAGAAAATCTTGAAGGAGAGCAAGAAGCTTTCTGGTGCCTCAAACACTTCCATTGCTAATATGAAAAAGTTTACACTTCAGACTACTATTAAGAGAAGAGATTGTAATAAGGAGCAAAAGTATGATATGAAGGTACACTTTGTTTCTGATAAAGTTTAATAGAGCAGAATGGAAGAATATGATAAAACCAAGCTCAAAGGTGCAAAGAAGAAGTCAGATTTCAATAGAACAGGGGGATATGTCTCATTCTTGTACTCTTTCTTACTCATTTTAGAAGAAAGGAAGAACCTTTTGGGGATTTAGGCAAAACGCAGAATACTAAATATGATCCAAAGAAAAGCTTGGCAGCCTTTTCAGCTGAGCTAGATCACTCAGAAAGATCTAAAGGAAAGAAGCCTAAGAAGTAACCTATTACTTAATTTTATTTATAGCAAGCTAAATACTGCTCTCCTTCAAAACTATTTGGTAGACTCTTATCAAGATACCTCTGAGATTAGTGAAAGAAAAGACTCTGTGAATGATGACGACTCAGAAAGTGAGACTCAGTCTTTAAGAATGCTCAACAAAAAGTTTAATAAGTCTTATGATGAAATACCCATTAGTGATACACGTATTTAGCCTACTTGACTTATAGGGAATGATCCAATGCTCAATAGCAGGAATTATAACAATTCTGTAAGATTCAGCAGAAGACTAGAAAAGCATGGAGGAATGTGTGCCAAAAGGAAGACTAAGAATGGATTTACTTCAAGATGGAAGCAAATATCAATCAAAGCTAACACGTTTTGCCCATATAATAGACTTCTCTTCCAACCAAAGACGAAAGAGAAGATCACTGATAGCGATTGGGACCCTTTGATAGATGTTCCTATGCTTCCTCTAACAACAGATTATTTACCTCCTTATTTCTCTGATAAGGAATATAGAGAGATGAACCCTTCAGCTATTGATACTTTCCAGTTGAACAGGAAATCGATTATTGAAATGACGATCCAGCGTTTGTCTCAAAATTTCCAAATAGTTTCACAGAACGGTTCGGTCTCCTTAACAGTTGATGCGAAGTACAAGATGAACACTAACCTCGCACTTTGTGAGTTTTACTACCAGAGTAACAACATGAAGAGTAACTTTTATATTCTCAATAAGGAGTTGTTGTTCCGTGACCAGTCTCTAAAGCTGAACTACCTCTATTATGACTGCTTGTTAGACTGATTTTCTCCTAAAAGTATCACACAAGGGCTGCTAAACTTCAAAGTATTGCAGAATTTCAACTATGACTACCAGTACAGTTTCAACAAATGCGATCTCCTCAGTGTGATTTTGCCTGTGCAGCAATACGTTGTGCTCTACACTCAAAAAGATATGAACTTGATGGCAGAAGCATGGTAAGATCTATCCCCAAATTCCTCTAGGAGCACAGATGGGCTAGATATCAAGATCAAGAACAGTATGGCTTATGAGCACTACCAAAGTTTCGGCCAGTATATTAGCAGCATAAAGGAGGTTATCTCCAAGATTCCTTCTACAAAGGAAAATAACAATAGGACTATTAGCATCAGAGTTAACCAGAGTGACGACTGGAGGTCCAGAAAATGTGCCCCTATCAGCAGGAAAAGCAAGCAGATCCCCTTCAAGGAGATTGACTGTGATGATGGTTACGGCGGAAAGTAAGATAAGCATGTTGATCTTTAGCGTTGAAGGAAAATTTGTATTCGAATTTGACGAGTACTTCTATGCCCTACAAGGCTTCTATATTACTTATAAGTGGCTGTGGTGTAATGGACCACAGATGAGAGAGAAGATCCAGAGATTGAATAAGAAAGCGAAACAATATGGGCTTACTGTGATTCAGGTTCCTACCCTGATGGATAAGCCAGAGATCAATGCATTTGCTAACAATTTTGTGTTGGCTAAGCCTCAATCTTATATGATTATGTATTTAATGGAGATAGATTTCACTCTTATGTCTCTAGGATACACTCTTGTTGATATGTTTCCAACCAAGAGAACGTATATACATGATTCTGGATGTGCATTTTTGCAGATCTTCAAAATGGGAAACACCATAGAATGGAAAGAAAACACAGCAATTGCCGACCACATAGACTCAGATGCTAAACAAAAAGTCTTCGAAAATACAAGTTCTTTCCTAACAGTTCTTGAAATTGTCCTTGACTTCATCTACGATCATGAAAAGTTTGGAGTTTCAGAAGAGTCGAAACGAGGCAACTACAATACATTTGTTTCTGCTTCTACCAAAAATATCCACTCTCCTGGTTCTGACTTCAGTTCTAATATGTTCCAAGATAGTATTGATAAAATGATACCTGAAGAGCTAGCTTGTAAGGGATTGTTGATCTTTAGTACAAAATATGAGTAGCGTTAAGAATATCAGTCAGAAGAAGTTAGTCAAAAGTAGCTTTGGAAGTGATTTCAAGCCATCTCCTCAAAAGAAATCTTTTAACAGAATGAGATCAAGAGATGACATCAAGTTTAAAAGCAAGAAAATGGTAGGTATTTACATGATTATGAGCAAATATCAATTCCTAAAATGCAACAAAACCTATTTCACAAATTCCTGGTCTTTTTCACCTTCCAAACCCTCAAAATTCCCTCAAAACCCCAATTTCCTTCCCCCTACACTCTCTAACCACCCCATAGTGGGCTCAATCCAAACAACCCACGACCACATCCAAGCTCACCATGCAAAAAGCCTTGCCATAACTCCCCCTAAAATTCCCACACAAAATCTTAGTTCAAAGCTAAAAATTCAGCCAGTGAACCCTCCATGGGGTTTTGGGGTTTTGGGGTTTTGGGGTTTTGGGGTTTTGGGG